TCTCTGGACCATCTGTGGTAAGTGGCATGCAGTGCTTTTCCCTAGTGAGAAGGAAGTCAATAGGCTGTATTTTACTGTGACAGCTCAGCCATTTGACTTGAGCCTTATTACACTTGATGGCTACTTTTAGGAATGCCATTTTCAATTGTTTATTTTTCATGCTTCTTGTCAGTTCAAACTACAGAAAGCAAAAGGAGAACCCTGAATTTGCTAATGTGTACACAGAATATGGAAGGCACTTCATCAAGCATGGGTTGAAGACTATGTATCAGTAAAGAAGTAAACCGATATTTACTGCATGCCAATTAGGTAAAAAAGCATCCTGATAAACAGTATGAGCATGCTTGAAACATGAATATAAATGATACATGCATGAGCATCATCTCCAGAGAATAAGAAACATGTATGAAAATTATATAAATTACTTTTAAAAGGAGATTGTAAAGGATGCCCACATTATACAACAAGGGCAAGGGATAAGGATGTCACTGCTTTCAAGAAGACAATACTGGTGTGCTTGTCAGGCACTGGTTGACTTTGTCATCAGGGCTACTCCTAATCATTTACGCAAAGAAATCTGTATTGAGTAGGTATTTTAGTTATTTATATTCCTATTGTTGTGCTATGACATCAAAACCAAGTAAAATTTTATAAGAAATGGCTTATTGAAGGCTTATAATTTCAGGGGTAACTCCATGAGTATCATGTCAAGGAGCATGGCAGCAGACAGGCAGTCATAACACTGAAGAAGTAGCCGAGAGTTCATATTTTAAGATAACAACCACAAGACAGAGAGAGCTAACTGGGAATGGCATGGGGTTTTGAAACTTCAAGTCTTACCCCCAGTGACACACCTCCTCCAACAAGGCCATACCTCCAAATCTGTCCCCAACATTCTATCAACTTTGGACCAAACATCCTAATGCATGAGTCTATGGAGGTTATTCTCATTTACACTACCAAATTCCATTCTCTGGTACTCATCAGCTTATGGCTACTTTATTTCAAAAAGAATTTAGTTTAGGAATCCCCATAGTTTTTCACAATCCCACTTTGAAAGTCAAAAGTCTCTTTTGAGACTCAGAACAATTTCTTACTTGCAATCTCCTGTAAAATATAAGAACAAATTACATACTTCCAACATACAGTGGCAGATAATATACTTCACTATTCCAAAAGAGGAATTGGGGGCATAGGGAGGAAATAATGAACCAAAGTAGAAATGAAACCTAGTATGGCAAACTACAAATCTTGTAGGTGTGATACCAAAGGGCTTACATGAGTCTGTTCTTCCATATTTGCTGACCGAGACATACTTCTCTCTCTTGGGTTTGTTCCACACCCTGCTTTCAGCTCTCTTTCATTGGTATGATACAGTTCTGGCATATCTAACATCTTGGGTTCTCTAACACAGTCCAGGCTTTACTTCCATAGCTTCATGTAAATGGCCTCTCAAGGCCTCCATGAAGGGATTCCCCTACCATGTTCCTGGTCTAAGTGGCTTAGTTTCTATTGCTATGAAGAGAAACCATTACCATGGTAACTCTTATAAATAAGGAAATATTTAATTGGGGCTGGCTTACAGTTCAGAGGTTTAGTCCATTATTGTCATAGTGGGAATTGTGGCAGCATGCAGAGAGATATGGTGCTGGGGAGGTAACTGAGATTTTTACATCCAGATCAGCAGGCAGGCAGCAGGAAGAAAATGAGACACTGCGCCTATCTTGAGCATTTGAGAGCTCAAAGCCCACCTCCAGTGACACACTTCCTCCAACAAAACCACACCTACTAAAAATGTCCCCTTGGGACATTTTTCATTCAAGCTACCACAGGGGCTCTCCTTACTTACAGAAGATTCTACAACTCCATACTAATGCATTCTCCATGACTCATAAACCATAATCTCATGGCTGATGCTGCCAAGTTCAGTTGTCAGCTTGGAATGGAACTTGGCCCCCATCTTGAGTTACATTTGCATACATTTTCTTTGTTGCTTCATTTTAGGAAAAGACAATTACTTAGTTCTTTCCTTCTAACATTTTACAAGTTAGAAGCTTACTTGTAAGAGTGAGATCTTTCCCTTAGGATACTACTCTGTTTATTCCACTTCACATCAGACCTTGTATTATCTATTTCAGCACAAGCCTTGGTTTCAACATTAAATTTCCTGGTGCTCTGTTTTTTTTGTTTTTGTTTTTTCCAAACAATACATTTGGTATTTCTTTTTGTCCCATGTGGTGGTTTGAATGAGAATAGCCAAGATAGGCTCATATATTGAATGATTGATGCCCAGCTGTTGGACTGTTTAGGAAGGATTAGGATGTGTAGATTTGTTGGAGAAGGTATATCACTGGGTGTGGGTTTTGAGGTTTTAAACACCTATGACAGGACCAATGTTGCTTTTTCTGCCTGTGGATCAGGATGTGATTTCTCAGCTCCACGTAATCCTCCAGCACTATGACTGCCTGCCTGGCACCACATTCCCTGCCATGGTGACCATGGACTATTTTCTAAAACTTTAAGCAAAACCTGAATTAAACGCTTTATTTTATAAATTGCTTTGGTCATGGTGTCTCTTCATAGTAATAAAACAGTAATCAAGATACCTCACTTGATCTTTCTTATTTTTCTTATATTTATAATTGCTCTCCTTCAGTAGAACTTTCAGTTAAAATAGGCTATATTTTTATAAAATATGCAAGATTAAATTAATAAATAACTTTGCATTTCCAAATACAAAAAAGACTCATTTCATTCTATGTATATGTCTAAAAGAAGTTCAAGAGGAATGTCTGATCATTCTAATTAGCAGGGAATGAGATAAATTGATACCATATTGAAAGAAGCTTATATGAGATCACCAGTGTTATGGTGACCACATGAGTCTGGGTTGGGCAGAAGACTTATCAGATGAAGGGCTTCAGTTCAAGTGATAATAAAGAAAATGCAGATTTCGAAGTTGAAGACAGTTCAAGATGAAAAGCTAGATCACAAAATCCAGTTCTGCTCCATGAACAAAGAGAAAATATCAACAGAAAAAAATCAAGGAGCCACATGCATAGAAAGCAATTGGTCCCTTGGTAGCATAGTATCAAAGGACTGAATCATGAAACCTCTTCAAAGTTAGCCATGTCACCCACTGATGAGATAATGAGGTTATATGAATTCACATACCACTCTCTGCATCCTAGAGATACTTCTAGTTGGCATAAAACTAAAGTCTAACCCTATTCTAATAAATCTGTCTATCTGGTTGCTATAGAAAAAGTATTTTTGAAGATATTTAATTTTAAAAGGAGTCAAAAGGAGATAAAGATACAGTAAAAAAAAAAGAGGAAAGAATGAACTAAATTAGAAAAGTAAATGGTTCATTCAAATTAGTCTTCAGAAAAATATTAACAGAAAGCACATAATTCATCATCAAAAATTTCTCTCTTAATTTAAAAATATTAGAAAGCAATGAAGCATAATTTCAAAACATACGTAAGAGAATTTAGGAATGAGATTATTAGACAGCACAAGAAGGTAAAATTTCAATTGTCAACTGGAGTAGAAGAAGTGAAGGATTTCCAGCAATTGGTTACATTTTTTAGAGTTGTTGGTCAACGAGATTAAAAAGACCTCAAATATTACAAGATATTGCCCATGCTCTTGGTTATCCTCTACAATTTGATAATGGCTCTCCCCACCCCACCCCCACTACTGTAGACACTATATACCTGAATCATAGAATATGGATTAATCAATCTGGTACTGTCCTTGAAGATTTAATTTCACTGGCAAGCTTACCTAATTATAGAAGGTGCTATGGATGCTATCATAAGAAAAAAGTAATCATCAGTCTTACTGAGCTATTAACCCTGTGATCTATAATAATGACTGACAATGTATACCTACTTGCAATAGTGGCAAAATGTCACAGAAGTAACCAACCACTTTCTGATTGAATTTAGGGCCTGCTCTACAAAATGAACCTATGCTTGTCATAATTAATGAGCCAATAATCTATGGCTAGATGGGTCATAGACCCTGGGAGAAAACATACTATTATTCCATTAAATGAGTATAGTAATGAGCAAAATTCTCATGACTTATTTTTAGACCCACAGACTAATGGATCTCTCAACACACACCAGAGAAGTTTTTATTTGCAATAGACAGTGATGAATACAGATACCCACAACTGATCAAGATGCAGAGAATAAGAGAATGCTGAATGCTTAGCCCTAATCAGAACATATACATGCCATGCCTCTCCTCCAAAGGCTCAGAGATTCTTTGAGGAAAAGAAATGAAAAAAAAAAACACCAAAAGAAGAGTTGGAGGATGACATCAATAAAAAAAAATGTCTTCTGTGCAGGAGTGAAGCAGTACATATAAACTTATAGTGATTGCAACAGCATTCAAAAGATCTGTGCAAGCTCAAACCAGAGTAAATACTAGCATAGACCAGGGAGTTGGGCACACAATCCCATCTGTAGCTGAAAAGCTGGTGGCAACTGTTAGTTACTGGAAGAGGGAAAGATAGTTTTCTTTAAGAGTATAACACCCGATAAGTCAGCCATGCTCCAGTGGAAAGCAAGCATCCAAAAATATGTGGGTAGCACAAATGGGCTTTGAGAGGAGAAAACAAAGGATACAAAAATGGATAGATAGGAAATGGAAGAAATGGGGGTGAATCTTGGTAAAATTGAAAGAGGGAGAGTGAATATGATCAAAATACATTGTAAAAAATTTTCAAAGAACTAAATATGGATATATGTATATACATATCTGTGTATGTACACATATAGTTATTTCTTTTTTGTTTTTGTTTTGTTTTGTTTCATTTTCATAAGAAGCAAGCCAGTGTAACCAGCTTAATATTTATCAGAATAGACTTCAGACCAAAAATAAGCAAAAGAGATCAGGATGGACACTACATACTCATCAAAGGAAAATCTAGCAAGGTGATATTTCAATTCATTTTTAATTAATATTCTTTTTGATTCTTTGGGAATTTCATATCATGCACCCCAGTCCCCCTTATTTTCCAGTCCCTCTGTATCTGCCCTTCATCCTTGTAGAGTCTCCATGCAAAGGAATATCTGAAAATAAACATAATAACAATAATAATGATGATGATAATTAATAAATAAATGCAAATAAGAATATTAATTTAAAATGAACAAAAAAGCAAAAAAAAATCAAACAAACAAAAAATACTTCATTCCTTCCTCTTCTTCACCTCTCCATTGCTTCTTCATTCACCTTAGTGGCATGAGATCTGCTGTGTATCATTCAATATATCCTTTTGTCTAGACAGCTTTACTTACAAATGTTCATTGTGTGATATATTGTTGGTCAGGTTCAAGGCCTCCTGCCTTTGTTATACCATCAATATTAGACCTTCACCAAAACCCTTTTTGGATATCCTGCTGTTGCCCTAGTCATGGAGAGTCTGTGGCTATGGTTCCATAACACCAGTCCCTTCATGCACTCCAGCAGGCCATGGATGAGGTAGATGTTAAAGAGAGCCTACTCAAAGAAAGCCTTGGATGTGTGCTTGACTGGTAGTTGAGTTGGTCAGTCCCAGCAGCAGGGACCAACCTGCTCAGATGACTGAGAGAGCCACTGCTCCCATGCTCATGGTGTGTGTATGTGGGGCTGGTTCTCCTATGAGTGGCAGGGCCAGCTCTCCGGTAATTGGGGTAATTGAGATCTGCTATCTTAGGGCCAGCAAGGGGATTGTGCATCTCAGGAACACCAGAGTCAGATCTGTGGTGAAAAGGGGTGGCTCTCTCTAGGCTAGTGAGTGGCAGGACCAGTTCAACACAGCCCTCATACTTCAACACATGGTTCACATGGGCCCCTGTGATAACAGGGGCAATGGACCTCAACACAGACCCTAGGTGCAGTAGGATCCAGACATGGTCATTGGCCACAGCTCAAACCTGGACATCACCATGGCCACAGGGACAGCACAGGTCACCCTGATCTCTATGGCCCTGGTAACAGTATGACCCTCAGGCACTGATATGCCCTCATGTCCCAACCCAGAAGCTGGGTACTTTTGTGGCCTTTGGTGGCAACACTGGCTGTGGGCATCAATGCTGATCCCAACTGTGGTAGTGCCACAGAACCAGACATGCTCCTCTACAGCAACCCAGGACCAGATGTCACCAACGCTCCGGGGGAAAAATATAATTTCTAAAAGCAGTAAGAGAAAACATGAAGTCACCACATGTATAAGGATAGAAAGAACATTATGATGAGAACCAACATATCCACAAATGCATTGAGTAAGAAACATAAAAATTTTTAAATGGATTAGTTTAACTGAAGAATGTATATCAGTGAATTATGTTTGAAGAAAGAAAAACATTGAAAAGTCTTACTTTGGCAACACTACAAGAAGAAACATAACATCCTCATGAGACTATTGTTCCTCTGCATTCATTCCAGGCTCCTAAGTCACAGAAGAGAGGCCCCATCATGTTACACATCTCTGTTATTTCTCTTCAAATTTGCTGAAGTTACAGGCTACAACCTGGGCTATTGCCCACACCAACATCTATGGGAATATTGAAGGTTATCTCAAACATATGCATTAACAATGGAGAAAAAAACATTTGCTTTAGAGTAATACACATAGGCTATTTCTTAAAGTAAAAGGGTGGGATATACCTTCATAAACCTATGAGTTGACTGTCCGAACAGATCCACTTATCACTGGAATCACAAGCAGATCCTTACAAGAAGCAGGTACTGAAGAGTATTCAAGAATGGGACAGGGAAAATCCTTTAGACAGATGAAAGCCCAAATGAGTAGGAGAGAAGTGTTATCTGTGGCGTCTTCTAAACCTCAACCATGAAAGTTAAAAATCCATTTTTCATTTCATCTTTTTGTCTTAGATGTGGTTGATGTATTACCACAGACACACTTGAAGAAATTACAGTTGAGGTATTTTAGTAGAATTTTTTCACATACTTCTACAGAAGAAAATTTCCTTTGTTCTCCCAGATCCAACCCTCCAGTTTCATCCCTAGCCATGCAACAGAAACCCTTGAAAGTATTCCCTATCTAGCTGTTTTATCTTTTGTAGAATGCATAGATCTTCCTCTTCTAAACATCACCACAAATTGCTTATCCCAGCCCCAAATCCAAACAGGAACCCCAGCTAACCCAAGGGCCACTCTCATCAGGGAAACATGTAGACTGATACACACCTGTTTTTCTGCTCCTCCAGATTCAACCTGCCCCCAGTCTCCTCCCCAGTTCAATAGCAGAAAATCTGTTGTGGTCTACCTTTCCTGTCTGATAACAGACCACAAAGAACTTCTTCAACTTTCCTTCCTCAATTCTTCCCATTATCTTAGCCTCCAACATTAGCAGGCATACCCTGGGATCACACAAACTTATCATACCAGGGAAATAGGTCAACAGACAATTTCCTACCAGGCAGCACACAGCTACCACACTCCTGTATAGTACAAGAAAGAAGCAGAAACCAAGGAACAAAACACTCATTCAACAGAGACAAAACCAGATATGTCACCCAGGCCTGTAATTATTCCAATCCCAGATACCTAGATGTCAGTATAAAAAGACAATCAATCACAGTCCAAACAATATGTCTCCATTGATGCCCAGCAATCCTATCACAGCAGACACTGAATATTCTAACATAGCTGAAAGCCAAGAGAAAGACCTAAAAACAGCCTGTATGAAGATGATAGAGCTCCATAAAGAAAACCAGGAAAACACAGTGTGAGAAAATGAATAAATTTCTTAAAGAAACACAGGAAAACACAGTGTGAAGAAATGAATAAATTCCTTAAAGAAACCTAAGAAAATACAAACAATGTGAGAAAATGAAGAAAATCCCTTAAAGATACTAAGAAAAACACAAACAGTCTAAGAAAATGAGTAAATCCCTTAAAGAAACCCAGGAAAACAAAAACAAACAGTGCAAGGCAATGAATAACTGTTTGAGACTTAAAAATGTAAGTATAATCAATGAAGAAAAGTCAAACTAAGGGAATGCTGGAAAAGAAAAATTTGGGAATTTGAACAGAAACTACCAACTTTCACTAACAGAATACAAGAGACAGAAGAAAGAATCCCAGGCATTGAAGATATAATAAAGAAAAATGTCAATACAACAGTCAAAGAAAATGTGAAATCTAGAAATTTCCTGACACAAAACATCCTAGAAATCTTGGAGACTGTGAAAAGCCAAAATCTAAAAATAATGGGAATAGAGAAAGAAAAGGATCTGAGTTCAAAGACCCAAAAGATATTTTCAACAAAACCATAGAAGAAAATTGTCCTAATTTAAAGAAGGACATGCCTATAAAGGTACACAAAGCTTATAGAACATTAAATAGATTGGACCACAAACGAAAGTCCCTTAGTCACATAATAACATGATAGTATATATAAGTGACCCCCAAAATTCTACCAGGGAACTCCTACAATTGATAAACACCTTCAGTAATGTGACAGGATCCAAGATTTACTCAAAAAAAAAAATCATTAGCCCTCCTATATACAAATGATAAATGGGCCTAGAAAGAAATCAGAAAAACATCCCCCTTTACAATAGCCACAAATATTATAAAATACCTTGGAGTAACTCTAACCAAACAAGTGAAAGACCTGTATGACAAGAACTTTAAGTTCTTGAAGAAAGAGATTGTAGAAGATATCAGAAAATGGAAAGATCTCCCATGCTTATAGATAGGTAGAACCAACATAATAAAAATGGCAATCTTACCAAAAGTTATCTATAGATTCAATGCAGTCCCCATGAAAATCCCAACACAATTTATCATAGATCTTGAAAAAAGAATATTCAATTTCATATAGAAAAACAAAAAACCTAGGATAGCCAAAACAATCTTGTACAATAAAGCAACTTCTAAAGGCATCACCATCACTGACTTCAAGCTCTACTATAGAGCTACAGTAATAAAAACAGCTTGGTATTGGCATAAAAATTGACATGTGGACCAATGGAATAAAACTAGAGACCTTGACATTAATACATATACATATGAATACCTGATTTTTGACAAAGAAGCCAAAAATGTACAATGGAAAAATAAAGCATCTTTAACAAATGGTGCTGGCATACCTGGACCTCAACATACAAAAGACTGCAAATAGACCTAATTCTCTTGCCATGCACAAAACTCAAAGTCAAAGTTGATCAAAGACCTCAATGTAAATCCAGGTACACCAACCCTGATAGAAGAGAAAGTAGGAAGTAGTCTTGAACACATTGGCACAGGAGACCACTTCCTAAATATAACACCGGTGGCACAGACACTGAGAACAACAATCAATAAATGGGACCTCCTGAAACTGAGAAGCTTCTGTAAGGCAAATGACACAGTAAATGGGACAAAACGACAGCCTACAGAATGGGAAAAGATCTTCAACAACCCCACATCTAACAAAGGGCTGATCTCCTAAATATATAAAGAACTCAAAAAACTAGTCATCAAAATAACAAACAATCCAATTAAAAAATGGGCTACAGAGCTGAACAGAGAATTCTCAATAGAAGAATCTCAAATGGCTGAAAGACATTTAAGGAATTGCTCAACATCCTTAGTCATCAAGGAAATGGAAATCAAAATGACTCTGAGATGCCATCTTACACCTTTCAGAATGGCTACGATTAAAAACACTGATGAAAGCTTATGTTCGAGAGGATGTGGAGCAAGGGGAACACTCCTCTACTGTTGGAGTCAACTTGTACAGCCACTTTGGAAATCAGTATGGTGACTTCTCAAAAATTTGAAAATCAATCTACTTCAAGATCCAATGATACCACCCAAGGGATGCTCAATCATACCACAAGGACATTTGCTCAACTTTGCAATTTGCTCAGCATTATTTGTAATAGCCAGAACCTGGAAACAACCTAGATGGCCCTCAACCAAAGAATAGATAAAGAAAATGTGGTACATATACACAATGGAGTATTACTCAGCTGTAAATAATAATAATAATAATAATAATAATAATAATAATAATGGCCTCATGAAATTTGCAGACAAATGAATAGAACGAGAAAATATCATTCTGAGTGAGGTAACCTAGACTCAGAAAGACAAACATGGTATGTATTCACTTATAAGTGGATACTAGAAGTAAAGCAAAGGATAACCAGACTACAACTCACCGCTCTAGAGAAGCTAGGTAACAAGGAGGACTCTAAGAGAGATACGTGGAACATCCTGGGAAGGGTAAACAGATGAGATCTCCATGAGTAAGTGGGGAATGGCGGAGGGGGGGGTCGACTAGAGAGGAGGAGATGGGGGATGAGAACATAAGAGAATGGAATGTTGAAGCTGGGGGGAGGGATAAAATCGGAGAGCAATGAAAGAGATATCTTGATAGAGGGAGACATGAACTAGGGGAGAAACCTGATGCTAGGGAAGGTCCCAATAGTCCACCAGGATGACCCCAGCTTAGACTATTAGCACTGGTGGAGAAGGTGCTTAAACTGGCCCAGTAATCAGATTAGTGAATATCCTGTGATCATAGAGCCTTCATCTAGTAATTAATGGAAGCTGAGGCAGAGATCCACAGCCAAGAACCAGGCCAAGGTTCTGGAGTCCAGTCAAAGAGATGGAAGAGGGATTATATAAGCAAGGGGGATCAAGATCATGATGGGGAAATCTACAGGGACAAATGAACCAAGCTTATTGGAACTCATGAACTTTATACCAACAGCTGTGGAACCTGATTGGGACCAGACTAAACCTTCTGCAAACCGGAGACACTTGTGTAGCATGGTCTGTTTCAGGGGCTCCTAGCAGTGAGATCAGGATCTATCCCTGGTGCATGAACTGACTTACTGAAGTCCATTACCTATGGTCAGATGCCTTGCTCAATCTTGATGCAGTGGGGAGAGGCTTGGTCTTGCTTCAACTGAATGTACCAGGGTTTGCTGATTCCCCATGGGAGGCCTTACCCTCTTGGAGGAGGAGATGGGGGATGGGTTGGGAGGGGAGGCTGTGGGGGAGCAGGAGGAGGGATGGGGGGGTGTCTGTGATTGGTTTGTAAAGTGAATAATTTTTTTTAAATAAAAAGAAATCAAAACACTAGACATACAGGAAAGAAAAGAATATTAAAAGCTGCAAGAGAAAAAGACCAAGTACATTTTGAGGCAGAACTATTAGAATTATACCAGATTTCAAATGGCGCTTTCTTAGAAAATTGGGAATCAATCTCCCCCAAGATCCAGCTATACCACTCTTGGGAATATACCCAAGAAATGCTCAATCATACCACAAGAGCACTTGCTCAGCTATGTTCATTTCAGCATTGTTTGTAATAGCCAAAACCTGGAAACAACCTAGATGTCCTTCAACTGAAGAATGGATAAATAAATTGTGGCGCATATACACAATAGAATACTACTCAGCAGAGAAAAACAATGACATCATGAGGTTTGCAGGCAAGTGGATGGATCTAGAAAAAATCATTCTGAGTGAGGTAACCCAGATTCAGAAAGACAAATATGGTATTTACTCACTCATAGGAAGATACTAGATGTGGAACAAGGATGACTAGACTGCTACTCACATCACCAGTGAGGCTACCTGGAAAACAGGATCCCAAGAACGACACGAGGATCGCCCAATGATGGAGAAATGGCTGAGATCTTCATGAACAACCTGGACATGAGTGGGAGCAATGAAGGGCGAGGGTCGAGGGAAAGAGAGCGGGAGATTCCAGCTGGATCAAGAACAGAGAGGGAGAAC